GGTATTTTCAGACCTCTTCATAGGAGTCACAGTGTTAACGTACTTACAGAGAACCAGATGCGAGCAATCTGACAGAACCCCACCCATATATTCCCCCCTTAGAAACACTCGACAAATAACTGTTTGTGAACTTCATATTAGGTACACAAAGTACAGAATAACTGTCGTGTTTGTTTTTTTCATTGTCACTTATTTTGAATAACGTTGAGTTTGAACATAATTCCTACATGTTGTTGTTAATTGGTTCATGAAAGATCTAATTTTCCTTTGATTTACTATTTTAATACAATACTTGGAATTTTACCGGAGACTATAGAGATAACTGAAAAAAAAAAAATAGAATTATCCAAGTGGTTTTCTTGGCCCTCTATGTAACAAAAATTCGAATGTATTCGATTATTGGAACACAGCGCATAAATCATGGTGTTACTTTCCATTATTGACACAATAGTTCTGAAATGTATACATGTACATCATTATGCGCAAGATGTTCTTTAACAAGTTAGACGTTAGAAGTGCATAGAATGTTTCGCGAATACTTTGTATATTATGTATCTCTGTAGGCCAGGCGTGACCTAGTGGATAGCGTACCAAACAGTGAGAACGAGGGTCCCATTGTCACAAACACGCTCCGTACTTTGGGGTCTTATTCGATTAGATTAGATATCCAAAAAGTTGGCTGAGGGCGCTATTGACTAGCTGCCTTCCCCGTAGTTTATCAGTTCAAAAATTAGGGACGGCGAGCGATTTCTTCCTGAGGCAAATTAGCTCGTGGCATTTATTCAAATATATGTGTTAGTGCTGCCATCTCGCATGTAGCTGTAGTGGAACATCGAACGACCTAACATATTAAGTTTACATTATTTTCGCCCTAAGGAATTATTTGGTTGGTTGATTGATGGAATAAACCCTCATGGCTACTGGTATGATACAGTTTGATACTACTACTAGTTGGTTGAATTGATCTCATTAGTGGGGGAAAAATTACCAAACATTTTTTCGTCCAGACACAAAAGTACAATTTTCTCTGGAATTTGTCTTCACTGATAAGTATCTAGATTTCGTCGTCCATGAATTTAATAATTGCTAATATATATAGACTTGTTTTAGAAATGAATATCAATGACTTTGTTTTTACGTACAAGTACAAATAGTTTTCATATTTTTCTACTTTAAGAAATTTTATTGATTGCATTTATTTTTTGTACAGTGACAGCTGTTTGATTGACATCCGTGTTAACACACAGACCACTTTTTGCGCTAATAATGAAGCTATGTGGTAGAGCTAATTTTGTTTATCATTCTTTTTCGTATATATATTATTGACTACTATTGATTTATTGAAAAACATGATTATTACACGACCCTAGGTGTCAATATAACGTTAATGCCTTTTTTTCGGGGGGGGGCGCAAATATAAAAAAAATGTTTACTGTGGGGCGTCAGTAAGAAAAGGTTGCGACTCCCATTGCTTTGTCATGCACTACTTTTGGCAATATTGAACTCAACAATATGTTAATTCTCCTCAGTATTGAGTTGAATATTATTATGTTACAGGTTAAAACAAATTAGCTGAGGAAGTTGCAACTATAAGCTGTGGTAATATTAAAACTTTTGGAAGTATCAGTTCTAAAACTGTTATACATTTTTACAGTAACAAATGTATATGCACTTCCCAAATTACATGAAAAAATCAAATTAAATATTCAGTTTTATTATTAGTTCTGTAAACAAATTTATGAAACAGCAAGCCAACCTGTTAACTAAGTAGGCTTATTAATAAATAAAACTCAATATATTGGTCATAACACTCGTGACTTTTGGGCATTAAAAGTAATAGTTTTATGTGATCTAGAAGCCTTAAGTAAGGCAAAAAAAAAAATGCTTGTCAATAAAAGCTTTTGATTTTACGACTTTATATACGAAAATGGCTTTGAACGACTTGATTAGATACAGATATATTATCCAATTCATTTATCACCGAGCCAGATGAATTGCCTTTTAAAATTAAATTGTACAAATAGGCTGTATCCGTGTAGGTGCTAAATGTTCTTCTGATGTAGCCAATTTATGTCTTTATTCTTATTACAGTTTCTTTATGATAAGATTTATTTACTGAAAGATTCATTGATGATTTAAGTAATTTGAATAATCGGATTATTTATAACTATTACTATTTATATATCATACTAGATTAGAGATGGAAATAGTTTAGTTGAAATAAATATTTTTGATAAATGTTGAGTTTTCACTTAAGTATCAAATACTAGAATTATACTATGCCTTTTTCGGCACAAATGCTCACCCAAGTGTGCGTCTGGTGGCTCAGCGGCAAGTCTAAGGGATTATAACACAAAACTCGTGTTTCTGCCGTGGACAGATCATTTAAATGGGCACTTGTACAGATTGTTGAATGGATCTGTTTTTTTTTTTGCTATTTTTGTATTGTTTAGAGGGAAAATTCCGTTTATATTTTTTCTGACAGTGCTAATTTTTTAATTAGACATCATAAGTTTTATTATGCTGTTCATCTATTTATGAAATCTCTCTATGGATTTCTGAATGCCAACTTCAGAAGCTAACATACTTATTGAACCCTTATGATTTTAGTATTATATATTGTTTTTATCGTTAAAACCAACTGGCTGCAGACAGTATATGACAGTTATACATGTAGGATGTTGTGAGCTCAATTACGTATATATGTTCTTAGTGTTTATTTTTTTTTACACACGTGAGGCTTTCAACTAGAACTTAAAATTATTAGATTGTATACCTCTATTGCTGTTTGTGTCTTAGTTTCTTAGATAACTATTACCATAATACATTTTACTCTTCCCACAGAGTAGTTTGTATCCTAGTTTTATGTACGACGCTTCTTGCTTTTGACCCTAAAAATGTTTTAAACTTTCATTTAGTGCAGAAGGATGCTGTTTCTGCGTATATTATTGTTAAAACGCATTCAGCCTAATGTTTTTTTCCAAGTTCGAGGACTATTATGGACAGTCTTTGGGACATAAAGAATAATCCTTCAGTAGTTTCTAGTACTTTTTTCTTCACGTTAGACATTACGTGTTTGTTATACCTGTGCGTTTCGAAGAAAATTAACAAAGAAAACCCATTATTTGGGAATGGTTTGTTTTTCTTAGCTCTTCCAAAGGGCACGCATTCACCTATAGCCACATTGGGTGCAATAAATTTACTGTGAACATACTGCAAAGACGACTTAACCTTAACAATCCTAACGAATGAGCTTTTGTCACGCTCTGACAGTACGTTAGACTGACTACCACGTTTTTAGAGGTACTTGGTAAGCTCACGATGCATTAAATGGTCTCATACACAGTATGCCCCCCAATGGCTCAGCGGCATGTCTGCGGACTTACAACGCTAGAATCTGGATTTCGATACCCGTGGTGGTCAGAGCACAGATAGCCCATTGTGTAGCTTTGTGCTTAACTTCAAACAAACAAACATACACAGTATATCACGTTGATGCATTAAATGGTCTCATACACAGTATGCCCCCAATGGCTCAGCGGCATGTCTGCGGACTTACAACGCTAGAATCCGGGTTTCGATACCCGTGGTGAGCAGAGCACAGATAGCCCATTGTGTAGCTTTGTGCTTAGCTTCAAACAAACATACACAGTATGTCACGTTGACCAAGCATTTTTCTGCAGTTCCAAAAGCCTATATTTTTGGTTTCCATAATTTAACTGAATTATCTACAATTTGGATATTTTTACATAATTTGGCACTGCTGTTTGCCTAGTGTTTGTGTGTATTCATACTCAGTGACTTTATAGAGCACGTTGGTAGGACGTATTACATATTTTAATGATAGTTGGATATTTCTTAATTGTAACTTGTAAATTAAAAAGCATGATACAGCAGCATCTTTCATGAAATTCTAAACTGATCGTAGTTTATCAATTAGGCTTAAAGTAAGAAACACACAAAACTTTAACGCTTCCCAGTCCACATTGACGCTATGTGTTTCATATGCAGTGAGTTGATAACAAAATTGCACCATTTTGATCATTTAACTTGATTTGAAGTATTTTTTCCTTTATCTGCAATTCCATTTCTACGTTTTTTTTTTTTTTTGCTTTTAATTGTTCTCTACTTAGAAGTTCATTATGGCCTTCTTGCATTCGACTTTTAGACGGACGGTTGGGGGCTTCATTTCCGTAAGGACTGTTATTGGTCAACTTAGCCATCCATCCTTCCGGATTTGGTAAATGAGTACCAAGTTCGGTTGGGTAATCTGATCCAACAGTAAAAGGGATAAGATCGACATGATGTAGACTTATATATTCGTTTAATGCTTGGTTCTTAAAGCCCCTCCCCGCAAAATCGAAAAAATGAACGAAAATTTCGTCGGAAGAATGATCTGTAGTTCGTTAGAATTTAACCGAAGTTAAATGAGCAAAACAACACATCTCGATTATCAACTTTGTAAGCAGTTTTGTGTAATAAACGTTAGCGACTTTGTAAAAACAATTGTTTGATTAAAACAAACCAATATAAACTTCTGTTGGTACCGTTGATGTTTGTGTACTAACACTAGTTTAAATAAACTAAAATTTATGACTCCTAAAGCTACAAGTGAGTCCGATTTAAATGACAGAGCAACAGCTGGTTTACTAAAACACTAGTAAAGAAGCCTTTCAATCACTGAAGATCTAAAAAAAAAAAAAGGTACCCGAAAATTAAAAAGTCATTTTAGTTCAGGCGAATAGTGGGTTCGCTCTATCGTAATTGGTGTTAGAAGGTTCGGGCGCTGAGTCATTAGTTTTGTGAGCATGTGTAAAAGAACTAGAATACGAGTTAAAATCAAGACTAGAAAGTGGGTTATCGGGGAAAGGTATAACATGTGCATTATTCGGCGAGGCTTGTAGCGCAGCCCTAAATTTAGGTGTTGTGTAGAAACAGCATGTTTTCTTCACCGCAACAAACGTGTGTGTGTGTTATAAACCTCTGCAGACTGAACGCGAGTCATTTAACTAAAGAACGGGGTTGGTTCCTGTGCAGGATTTAAGGCGCGTTCGTGCATGGTGTCAGAGTGCTGACGCGAAGCTCCCAGCGAAATTTACTATTTATTGTTGTCTACGTTAGAAAGGAGGCCTTGAAACCATCGAATATACTGTGTAGGTACAGTGTACTTAGTATATTCATGTTAAAATGTGTCTTATATTATTTGTTACTTCCTTAATCCTTTTTTTTTCAGTTTTTACAATCTCAATTTGTAATTCAGTAATAGTGGAAAACCTTAGTATAAAAATAAACTAACTTCTTTTTTTACTATTAACGAAAAAAAATCATATATTATTACTTGTAAATCAGAGAGAAATAAGCTAAATCTTCATAATTATATATATATATATATCTGCAGATTTTGTTAAACAAGAC